AAGATATTGGGAAAAGAAGCTGTTCAACGAAACAAGACATTATTATACGAGAGTATTACGTTTACATAATACATTATATATTTACAATTATGAAAAAGAGAGACGATTATATTTGTTTTATTCATTTATTTTTTTTTTTTTACAGTTGTTGATACTGCTCCTGATAATCAGATTTTTGTTAATTAATTAAAAATATTTTTATTCTTGCTACCATCACTAGTATCTTTAAGAAAATTGTCATTTTTAATGGAAAAAGAAAAAGTTAACATTCGGTGAACAGATTTTTGAACTTATACGAAGAATTAAAAAATATTAATAATAACGTTCACTATTTTTTTTAAGATAATGTGATTATGTAAAAATTCATGTAAATTGAAAAAAAATGAATAATATTTTACTTATTGACTAATTTAAAAGAATCAGTGATATTATTTATCGTAGGATATTTAAAAAATATAATGCGTATTTGTTTGCATAACATTATATATATTATATAAAAACTTTATTCATTCGTTCATTCATTTGTTCGTCCATCTTTATATTCAGTTATTTATTCACTGAACTCGTCGAAAATAGGTTTTTTCTAAAAAAAATTTCTTTCAAAATATCTACAACTAATATCGAAGTCTTTCTAAGCAATATATGAATAATATAGATAAGAAAACTAATTAAATCAATCAAGATCATTAAATGAGAAACAGATAAATAAATAAAATAAATGATAATAGCAGAAGAAGAAATATTCATATTTACGTTAAAACAGTAATAAAAATATTTATTTCACATTTACGTCTTTACAGAAAAAAAAACGTTAAATTTTCAGGGACTTCGAAAACACGTCATTCTCGTTGTAATTCCAAGTACGTCTATTATTATTATTATTATTATTATTATTATTATTATTATTATTATTATTATTTGGAAAGTTACGTTTGCGGCTTTCTATCCTATAAAACCGGGTCCAAACTATGGTCCTTAGGGCCTATAGGAGAATTGTCATTCAACTGATAGCACTTTTCTTAGTATTTGGGATGTTCCTAGTAAGGCGATCTTCTGGGGAACTTGTATTGTGATCTTAATAAAATTGACCAATCCTTTTCTCACGAGACCCAGTGCTCCGATTACTATTGGTAACAGTCTCAGTCTTCAATTTTGTGCTTCCTGCATCTCCTCCGGTGCACATATGTCGCTACATTGTTATATCTGTGGGTATATCCATTTTTTTGCTAATGGACATCCTGAGTTAATATGATCGACAGTTTAATCATATTTTCCGCAGATCCTGCATCTCGGACTAGTTCCATCCTTGATTATGTGACAATGATAGGATTTAGCTGTTATGGTCCTAAGCTGTTATAATTAGTTCTTCTGTCTCAGCTTTCAAACCAGTGTTCCTCATCCGCTGATGTGTTTTCTGTTCGTCCACATCTGCTTCTTTCTTTCTTTTTAGGTATTTGCCATGCAATGCCTAGTCCTCCCAGTTATTTTGCAATTTCATTTGGTAAAGATGATTTGCTTCCTGTTTCACTCGTTTCGCGTAGATGGTATTTGCTTTGTTTTTTGTTGGTAGGATTTCAGGTATATTAAGCTGTTGCTGGGTGCAGCTTCTTTGTTGATGGAGTGGATTTGGTGTTTTACTAGTAGGAAAGGTTCATTGGTTTTTGTGAGGTAGGCTTCCAATCCAATTGTTGTAGTTTTTAGAGTTAGTACAAGATGGATTAGACCTCAGCCTTCTAAAGCTTTTGGTACATAAAGCCTATCAACATCTGATTTCGACTGGTGCATCCACATTTTGATAAGCATTTTTCTGGTTTTGGCGTCTAATCATTTAATGTCATTTAACTTCCATTTAATAATGTTTAAGCTGTATGTTACTACGAGCATAGCTAACGTGTTCGTAGCCTTCATTTTATTGGCCCCATTAAGTTCGCTTTATTATTATTATCATTATTATTATTATTATTATTATTATTATTTCCTTTGATTTCTGGCGTTTATACATTTCTTTCCGCCTAGGGACCTAAGGTTAAAAATGGCATCATGAGACTTCCCACTGGCAAAAAAAAAAATTAATAGATAAAGCCCTTCGTAAAGTGCGGGCTGTATTGTCAGAAATTTTTTTGTATCTCTTTGAGGCATGGACTTCCAGGAATCCATTCAATTAGTCTACTGCAATCTTTTCCAACCAGTCCTAGGGCTCCAACTACAACAGGGATTGTTGATGATTCCAAGTGCCATATTTTTTAGATTTCTATTTCAAGGTCCTTGTATTTTGACTGCTTTTTGAATATCTTCAAAGATACATTGCAGTCAGCAGGGACTGCCATATCAATAAGGAGGCACTTTTTGTGTTTGTGGTCTTTAATAACAATGTCTGGGTGGTTGGGTTTGGTTGCTCTGTCAGTGTGTATTGTGTAGTCCCATAGAATTGTGACAGGTCCTATCTCAATAACCGGGTCTGGGTGGTGTTCATACCAATTTCTTTCAGTTTCCTTCCCGTAGAAGTTGCAGATTTTCCAGTGCAGATATTGGCCCACTCTGTCATGCCGGGTTTTATACTCAGTGGGTGCCAACACCGTGCAACCTGATACAAGATGATCAATTGTTTCTGAATATTTATCACAGAATCTGCATTTTGGGCTAACACAACATTTTAGTATATGTGCTTGATTATTCCTAGTTAGCAAGCATTGGTCCCGTGCAGCAAGGATAAAACCTTCAGTTTCAGCTTTCAACCCTGCACTACGTAGCCACTGATGGGTACGTGTTTTGTCCACGTCAACTTGTTTGGTACGGACAGAGTATTGGCCATGAAGCGGTTATTATTATTATTATTATTATTTTATTATTATTATTAGTCCGCGGTGTCCAAGTCTATTTGTTGTAATTGTAATTAGGTTAGAAATTTTTAATTTTGATTAATATAAAAAAAAATATTTGTCCAGAGCTGCATTTATTGTATCTGCGGTCTTACTGGCCATTTTGGCGACTTGCGTAAGAGAAAGACAGAGAGGGATATAAAATATCTTGAAGTCTGTTCTTCAACCTGACTGTAAATTTAACTTGATAATCATATATGTCTTTCTTATCTGATTAACCTCTCAAGTCCACTGAGGACAGGAAAATAGGAGATTTATGCTAACCAGTTAGAAGCAAAATACAACTAGAAAACAAAAAACTTAAATTATCGATTTCAAAATGTAAGAACACACAGTCTACGAATATATGAAAATACGTAAAATGTCGATAGACAAGACTCTGAGTAAATCTTTCTGATTCTCAGGTCTTTAAAAAGCTTAAATAATTCACATTGTTTGCCATTCTTATTTGTCTGTTTAACGTTGCCAAAGACAATCTTTGAATGCAGGAATATGGGAATATGTAATAAGTGCTTATAGACAAGCAGAAATTTAATATATTATTTATATGTTAAACCAGAAAACACAAGACAAGAATAAAACTTTTCACTGCCTCTTTAGCGTATGTCTTACCGATCAGTTTCTGCTTTAGTGTGTATCCTATCACCACATATATATCCTACATTATAATCGATCCACAATTAGGAAGGTAGTGGCAGCACTTTCACTAGAAACAATGTTATTGTAAAAATGCCGAAAATACATCTTGTATGGGTTACTAGCAGCATGGCCCGGCGTTGCCCGTGCTTAATTCAAAAACTGTACAACTCATACAGCAATCGCTATCACTTGACTTAAAATATTTTTGCCCTTCCTTGTCCTTTGCCGTGCTGATGTTGCTACATGCCTTACTTCTTGCCTATCTCACTCTGCGAATTTTTTCTAAGCTCTATACTAAACATTAAATCTGTTACGAAAAAAGAACTAAACAAAATAAACACAAAACGATCAGCTTTAAAAAAGAACACGTAACTGGAAAAACCGAATGAAAAAAGAATGTTAACAACAAATACCTTTTCACATCCAACCCAATTCTGCGGAATCAGAATCAATGTTAAGTTTAAGCAAGCGAATGAGCCAATTGGAGTAAAGTGCCACTCAGATTAAAATTTTTCCACTTGTGATGAATGCAGCTATCGATTTTTTGCATGCTAGCATGCTAGTTAACGTTCGTGTCAGTCAGCTGTTGGCTCTCACGCTGGCCAATAGAATTTCCCTGCCTTTTCGTGGCAGCCAGCTATAGGCTTTCACTCTGGCCAGTAAAAATGATCGCAAACTAGATGAAAACTGCCGTAGAAGCATGAAAAAATCGATTATTTCCACTATCGATGGGAGTTGGGAAATGCAATGTCGGTCTTGGCCTTCCCACTAACTTGGAGCATGTGCATGTATATTTTGGTGCAAATCCGTCGAAAATTGCGGCCGTGCATTCGTTACACACACACACACACACACACACACACACGCACACATCCTGCCTTTTATAGATAGAGATAAAAGTATGAACAAATTATTGAAATGACTAAAATATATTTACAAAGCCTTAATAATGAAGGATACAAATGTGGTGGTAGGATACAATGTAAATCAGAAACTGATGGGTAGGACACGTGCTAAAGCGGCACTAAATTTTCGTTTTCTCTTTGTTCTTGTTTGTCAGGGACATTGATACGCCCTTGTCGAGAAAAAGGTATTTTTTGGCCTCGTTGGTTAGGGACATATTATGTCAGCAAAATGTGAAGTGTGGGAGAGTTGGACTGTTTTTATAGTTGCTTGGGAAAAGATTGAAGGACAATCAGTCGGCCAAATGTTAGCGGGAAACAGAATACGAAATTAACGTTAATGGAGGCATGACAATAGCAAGGAAACTGAATTTGCATCCAAGGTTGAAGATGACAAAGGAGAAGAACATAGAAGGGTTAAAGTGGGAGTAAAAAGAGATCATACGAGTTGAAGAAGAAGGAAAGGACAAGTTGAAGAGAGTGGGTGGTTTTGTTTTTTTTTTTAAAAAGGAGAAATTAGGAAAAGTATGAAAAGGAGAGAAAAGGCGAAATGAAAAGATTAAGAACAGGGAAGAAAAAGTCAAAGAAATATTAGAGCGAGTGGTAAGCGAAGAAAAGTTGAATTAAAGAAAATATAGGAGGGGGCTAAGCTGAAGAGCGAAATCGAAGGGGAGGTGGTCGAGTTGAATAAGAAAGAGGAAAAGAGATTAATGGAGGAAGAAGTGGTTGATTTTGCAAAGAAAAAGAGAAGAGAAATAAATTTGAAGAAGAAAGTGGGGGTTATTGATTTAAAGAAGGAGGAGGAGGAGGTTGCTTTGAAGAAGAAATAAGTGCAGTGGGATAACTATTTGAAGGGTGTGGAGTTTTGGTCTGAGTGGACGAAAGTAGACTAGGGGAAGACAGGTATAAAGGAGAATGCGTAGGTGAAGTTGAAAAATGAAAGAATAGGAGGAAGGGGAGGTTTAGCTGACGGAAAGTGGGAAATGACAGAAGTGAAGGACTAAGACAAAAGATAATCACGTTGAAGGAGGGCGGGGAGATCGAATCGGAGAAAGTCAAGTTGAAGAGTCGATGAGGAATTAAGTGATAAAAGACAATTATGAAGGAAAACAAATGGGTTAACTTGACGATGGAACAACAAGCTGAAAACGACCAAGAAGAAATTCAACTCGAAGACCTCAATCAATGCCAAGTTCTCTCGTTCCATTATCACACACTGCATCGAAAAAAACAAGCGAAACGGTTGAAAAGATCTCCGATTAACTTCAGCTTGAACCAGATCGAGCTGCAAACGAACATGTCACTTGAGAATACAATCAGCGCACGGGATTGTTATCTTTTTCTACCATTTATTTCTCCTGTATTGTAAAAAGGCACAAATCACGAATACCCGGGCACAACGATCGTATTTGCTCCCAACGGCCTGTGAGAAAAGCAAATTCGATTCCAGAACGGAAAATCGTATGCGATTCATTGATCAATTCAAACTACGCGGATTCAAAGTAAAATATAACGCTGTCGCCATGAATCAGCGCAAAAGTGAACATTGGAGCATTAAGTATTATAAGATCACAAGTCGAAATTGCAATGGATATCACGCGCTTATTTTTTGATGCGAGGATTGTGTAAAGAGAAGTTTACAATAGGAAAAAAAAGGTATCTGTTAGCTCAGTTAAAAAGGAATATCGATGCCCGTATATCAGACACACAGATACACATGCATTTTTTTTTAAATCATTTCACCCTAAGGAAGGCGTGAATGCCGCTAGTATGAATGCGGTTACAGGAAATGAAAATGAAAGAGAAGACTGAGAATAGTGAAGATTGAAGAAAGTGAAAAAGATGAGTCAAGAGGACAGAAATTTGCATTAAAATTTTTGCAGATTGTAGTTATAAGCAAAGCAAGCAAACGGAAAGATGTTCCACATTTGGGGAAGTGCGAAAAAAGAAACTTTTGGAATAGAAGTGATAGTTGCATTTAGCTATTTTAACAGTAAAATGCTAGAACCTATATGGCAGTCTAGTGGCATGCTTAAATATCTGTAATCTCGAACCGACTAAAAACTATAGGCAACCAAATTCAAACAGACCCGACACAGATCAGCGTTTAAGGTCAACAGAGAGACGCCACTGATGACGACGATGAAGCAGGTGAGGTTACCACCAAGTGTCTTTTCCCTTCTAATTTCACCATTCTCTCTCCCTGTTGCCATACCGACAGAAGCAGATAATGGTTTGTATTTATGTAAATAAATGATACATTTATTTACCCCTGCTCAATTTCCTCTTTTATTTAACGCTTGGATATATGTTTGTCTAGGTGGAGAAAGAATTAACCTCCACAACAGTAACAACAATGTGCTGGCTTCCAGGTTAGCCATTTCGCCTCCTCAACAGATTTCATTTGACACCGTGTAAGTCTAAAAGTAATTCAATTTTAATTACAACGTTCTATTGATAAGTGACAGTCAAAATGAATGAATTCTACTTTTTACAATCATTAAAAATAGTATCGTCATAGAAAGTAAGCCCAAAACAAAAATCTTTCTACTTATTGGGATGTTCCATTCCTTTGGTAACGCGAGCTGTTACCTTGGAGTAAACTAGTTCATTCTATCATTGCCGATAGGACCACGAACTACTACCATCCATGATCAATGGATGTCCTCTCGGGGAAGCAGCGTGTCTTTGAAAAACTATTGACTTAAAGTGGAACTTTTACATACAATCCATTGCTAAGGATGCAGATAAAATGTTGGATTTCCTGTACCGCTCCAGTAAGGCCCTGACCCCTCATTTTATTCTCTAAATTTACAAGAGCCACATCAGGCCAAAGATCGAGCACAATTTCATATTTCGGTGAGAGCTGCTTAATCCTCACACTCCAAACTCAAAAGTATCTCCCAGCCATGTGGGTGACGAATTATTTCCCACCCTCCACCCTCTCTCTCAAAGACGGCATGTGGCATGCTTCTCGCTGCTCTTTTGCTATTCCCACGGAAAATGCTCGGTCGAACAACATTCCCTGGTTCCACTAGTTCAAAACTTTACATGACACTTAGATAGTTGCAAACCACTCACATTCCTTCTGTATTCCATCGGTGAGAACCCACGCTTTGTGGAACCGACTCCCAACAGGATGTTTTCCTGATCACTACAATCTTAACTTGTTCAAGTCTAGGGTTAACCGTTATATTCCACTTCTATCCGCACACATTGCCTATTAATGTAACCCTCTACCTTGAGTGGGTCTCGGGCCTTGTGCAGAGTGAATCTTACTGTAGAAAGGCAATCAATCAATGTTCGAGTTCCTATAACAACAGAATAAATGATACTAAATCATGAGAGTAGAATCATTGTCGCATAAATATGTCATATTTTGCTGCATATGAGTTGCTGTTTCAAAGGTTTGTGACCTAATATTCTTAATGACGTGACAGCGGGAAACATATCGGTTTGTCTTTATTTTATCTTTCAATAAATACCCGTATACGTCAACAAAGTTTGCTTCCACAGATAGACTTGACCGTGGTTCAATTTAAAGTGATTTCCCTGATCGAGGCTACTCTTCTGCCGAAACTCTAAGATTTGCATACGAATGACTTTTCGTCTGTGACAATTGATTTCAAGCTCTTTCCTACTCCAAAATTCTATAAAAGCGCCTTGGAACACTATAACACTAATATTCGACAGTTAGCGCCAATTGCTCCATTTCTTTATTGATTCTGAAATACAATTCAAAAGAAAAAAAAATCGGTAGCAAGGTAAATGTCTAAACTTTGGAAAAAATAATTATGTAAGCAATATATTAGATTGGGTTTGCTTTGGTTTGTTTTGTTTTAAGGCATATCAACCCACAATGGATTATTTAATGCCAACAAAATTGTTATTGCTGCTAATATGATTTTCTTCAAAAATCTATTTCTGGGAATATTTTTCCTTGAAGAAATCTATAGCTGGTAATATTTTTTCAAAGAATGTATAGCTGTTTGTGTTGCTGGTACTTTTTTTAAAAATATTGCTGATAATAATTTTTCCTTAAAAAATTATTGCTGGTAATATTTTTTTTTATTACAAAGTATTTCTGGTATTAAAACCTATTTTTACACAATTTTGGGTGTCAACTATTTGCCCATAGCTGGGACCATAACAGGTACTAACACCCCGCGTCAGGGTGAACTTGGGAACATCAGCATTTAAGAGGTGGTTCCACGCTCCTCAAAACCTCCTGAACAGAGGCCTTGCTGTTGGACGTAGTTTGTCGTCTTACCCAGGACGCGGATGTAGTTTATCGTCATACCCAGGACGGGCATATATATTATAACGCATCATTTTATCCTAAGGCAATAAATAAATCTATAATTCAGAAGGACTTTAACATGAAAATTAAAAACCCTATACATGACTTGTGTTGTTTTAAAATTCACTTGCAAGATTGTACCACTGAATATAAGCAAAAAAAACATCTTATATAGGATATACTACTACGATTCTCTGATATAGATGCATTTGTTTTAGTTTCTTAGCAGAAAATCAACCTTCATGGGTTATTTAATGCCAAAAGATAAATATTTTGAACGCATTTGAATGCCTTCAACTAGAGATAAAATGTATTGTTGGAAATTTTGCTATCAATATGTATTGTTGGTAATTTTTTTTATTTAATATATTGCTGGTAATTTTATAGTTTTGTTTTTGTTAAGGGGTCTACTATTTCCCCATAGAAGAAAGCCTAACAGGTGCTACCACTACTTAACAGCAATTAACAAGTGGTTTGAATCTCCTCAAAATATCCAATCTCTAGACCAGAGGCGTTGCTGCCGGATGTAGTTTATCGTCACAACAAGGACTCTCATAGACACACTTATCATAATTCCGAACTGAGTTATATATGGAGACGCATGATGCAGAAACATAAAAATGATAATAATTTACAAACGTAAATAATACAAATCGTTCCCAAAATGTAAATTACACACACATACTTCAAATTCATTTAATTTGTGGCTTTCTTGATAATGACTAAACCTAGTCAAAAGCACAGAATCTTCAAATGAACTAACAGAAACAATAGACAGCTTTTGTAGACCTTCAACATCAGCGTACAGTAACAATCAAAAATATATATACCAGTGAGCGTGAGCGAAATAAATGGTTCAGTTCGACATTTCAACCACCTGAAGAAGGCCGGAGCGTACAACGGCCGAAACGTTATAATAAATATAGCAACAAAGCTTTGGATTTCATCTCATGTTCTTCTTTCTTGGTAATCACTAAAACCGCTCGAAATGTTGGTGCTTTAAAAAAAAAACGTAGACAAGGTATAGTCTTTTAACATGGGAGACGCTTCACAAGAAAATACATTTTATAAGATTATTATATTTTAATTCAATCTATTTTTTATATTTTTCCTATGTTATCCTTACTCCGTGACCTTACGTTGTTACGAAGTAAAGCCACTTTTTCCTACTGTAGACTTCAGAGTATTTTCGATCAAATTTTCATGGACACCTTTCAGCTACTTGACTTATAAATGTGCATTTAATTTTTCATTGCATTTTAAAAACTCTAAATGAAAAATACCCCGACAATCCCACTCGAAGCCCAACATAACCTGACATGAAACAGAACATCATTTTTCCTATTGACGAGGACAGGGCGCATTTCCACCCAACCTTTAGGGACACGTTGCTGCTGCTGGACGTATAAAGGTGCATTTAGTATTGCGTTTTAAAACCTCTAAGTGAACGATACCCCGGATGTTTTACTTAACCAATCCCCATAAAATAAAATAACATATTCTCCGTAAAGTTGAATTTTTATAGAAGAGAATATTCGGAAAATTTATAAGAAAGATAATTAAACGTTTTAAACGGAACTAAGCCTGTTTGATGCAACTATGTTCTTCTTAATGATAATTTTTGTTTTTCTTTTCGTACCTAAACGCTGTAGAGCAGCATTCATTTAATTTGATTGTAACGTAATACATTAACTCTGTCACATTTATCAAATGAGGACTCCCTATGAAATTCAATTAAACAAGTTTACTGTCGTTCTTCTGTAGTTTAAGCCCGACACCTTTTAGGCTGAATCCTAAATAATTTCCGTTTTAGTTTATCAAGTTTATTCTTTTTTAAAAAAAAGACATTACATTTTATTCAATTATATATACACCAGTATTTTCAATGAGATGTTGTCACTTATTAAGCAGCTCTTCGAAAACGTTTGTGAAAATTTTAGCAGGTTTTGCTGTGAACAAGTTTCCAACATACACCTGAATTTGGTCTTCTTTAGCTAAAGTTTTCCCTATTATTGCAACAATTGAAAAAGTTAATAATCGGTAAGGTCAGGGGAATATCGGGGCTGGGATGGAACAGAGCATTGTAGTTGCAATTTTTTTTATTCTTGCTGTATGCAACCTTACGTTATTGTTCCCACCCTATGCTCATTGCCTTTACCCCATGGAGCTCAGCT